CGGCACGCTCTATCCGCTCGCAGGGCACGGCGTGCCGCCGGGGCCGCCGCTGCGGCAACACGCGCTTCACCGAGAATCGCAGAATCCCGAACCCTATAGTAACACAATGCAGACATGGCCTCGCTGAGGTCCCCGCCTTTGCACCAGGGATAATAGATCTGGGCGGCTTGGTTCGATACGCCTGCAGAAAAGATCCCCCTATCCCTAATGGCTGTCCCCTTTTTCTGGTCCTCAAGCGAGCGCCACGAGCGCGAGCGCGCTCGTGGCCCTCGCACCGCCCCCACCTCGTGCCGGCCTGGATTGATGGGCCTGTCCTCCACCACCACCACCACAAGTTGGAGGGGGAGGGGGTCCTCCTCCTCCTCCTCCTCCTCCTCCTCCTCCTCCACCTCCCCCCCCCTCCTCCTCCTCCTCCTCATCCTCTCCTCTCTCCTCCTCCTCCTCCTCCTCCTCCTCCTCCTCCTCCTCCTCCTTGTCTGCCTCCCAAAGGGTTAGGGGTTTCTCATGGGCAAGCAGCGCTCGCTCTGGGCCGCCTCCGAGCGTGCAGCCGAGCCGAGCCGGGCCCCCGCCATCCGCATGGCCGGCGAGGGGCCGCCGCCAGCCACGCGGGGCTGCGCGCAGCCCTCGGCGGCGTGGCGATGCAGGCGCGGGCTGCCCACCGAGCGCGTTCCACTAGTCGCCAAAAGTGCCTATACAGTGGGGGCGCGCCTCAAGAAACCATCTACCTTTCGTCAGGGTACCCCGGGTTGCTTCGCTCCGCGCGATGCGCGGTGACTTCCCGCGGCCGTTGAAGGAGCTGCTGCGTTCGGGGCGCTCCGGGTTTCCCCTCAGTCGCACCCCGCGCGCGGGTTTTCAGGGTTGGGTTTCTTGCGAGGGTTTCTTGCGGCCGCGCCCGCACTGTACTCGCAAACGTCTGAAAAAACACGTGTCTGCTTTGATGCCGTTTCTCGCAGATCCCCCGCGGGGGCTCCAGGCCATTTGCGAGCGGTCACTCTGCGAGCAGTGGAGCGCGCTCGTCCAGCTGCGCTTGAGGCAGGCGTGTCCCCCTACAGGAGGAAAGTTCAAGAATAGGCAAACATAGCCTGGGGGCCATTTGTGTCTACATTCTTTAATCTATTTCGATAATTGTTCTTATTTCCGACTATCTTCTGGTTATGCTTGGATGCATGTTCGAGTGCTAGGCAATTTCGGATATATACATATATATATATATATATCGATATCGTTTATGGTTGGGCTATTTTTGAATATTCACATCTAGTCAAGAAGTAGTACGGGGACGATTTTCGATTATCAAAATCCGCCTGTAGGAGGACATTCCTGACCTAAGGCTGCATGCGCGCCGCCGCTGCCACCGTCGCCGGCGTCGTCGTCCTCGGCCGGGTGGCGTGGAGACGGGGGCCAGACCTCCGCTGGATTCGCTTGGAAATTCTGGTCAGAACGAACCCTGGGAGCGGTCCAGGGAGTAGCAGTATCGGTACCTCCTGGTTCCCCCAAGGAGGGCGAAGGAGGGGAGGGTCAGAGGGGGAACGGGTACCGATGCCGCTGCGCGTCCTGAGCCCTCGTCGCCACGGCTGGGCGCGTCTCGACTTCTTGGTTGGGACGCTCCTGGGAGTTGCGGTATCGGCACCTTTTGTCCCGTCCGAGGGAGGCAGGAGGAGGAGAAGGAGGAGTCGGAAGAGGGGGAGGGAGGGGGGGGGGAGGGGGAGGTGGGGGGGGGAGGGGGAGAAGCAGCTTCAGCAACAGTAGCAGCTCCTCTGCCCCTTCCCCGCACCGCCCTCCGCTCATCCCCGCCCGCGCCGCACGGCCGGCGACCCCGACCGCGGCCATGCACAAGGGCTCGGGCCTGCCCGCGCCGCTCTTCGAAGCTCCGCCGCCGGACGGACACCGGCGCGGCGCGCTCCGTCCGTGCTGCCGTCCATCCCTCCGTCCTGCAGAGCACCCCGCGCGACCACTTTGAGCCACGACCCGCGCCCAGTGCTGGCGCTCACAGCGTGGGCCTGGTCCCAGACATAGGGGGCCACATGCGAACCCTACCCCTACCCCCCACGATTTCTGAGGGGAGTGTGGGGTTCACTTCGCTCGGGAGCTCCCGAACGAAGTAAACCCCACCCTCCCCTCAGAAATCGTGGGAGGTAGGGGTAGGGTTCGCATGTGGCCCCCTAAGACAGCGACGTCCTGATTTTTTCAGGACGGCGTCCCTGGAAGTCCCGACCCTCTCCCTGGGACCGGTTCTGCGTCCCGAGTCGTTTCTTGACGCCCGAGCGCGGCCCGGCGAGGGCCCCCCTGGGGCCGAACAAGGCCAAAAACCTCCCGTCCTGATCTTTTTTCTAAGACGCGATCTTGTCTGGGGCATTCTCCTGGCAGGCTGCTCCCCGGGCCGCAGCTCTGGGCCTTGGGTCGGGAGCCTCGAGACGGGGGTCAATGCAGACGGGGGTCAGCCAGGGCACCGGATCCTGCAGGATCCTGCGAAGACCCCCTCTGGCTGACCCGAGCTAGCGAGCCGCTCGTGGCCGCGAGGCTGCCGCGCCTGTTGGCTGACCTGACCTGGGTTTGCGAAGACTTGCGTTGCAGTTTTTTTTTGTTTCCTGCATTGCAGTTTTTTGGTGTCCTGCTGGCCCGGGACTGGACTGACCCAGGTCAGCAAGAAACCAAAAATTGCAACAATGCAGTTTTGGCTTCTTGCTGACCCGGGCCACCGCGACGCGGGAGGAACAAAAAATTGCAGCGCGGGTCTGGGTGGACCCAGGATCGGCCCAGGATTGACTCGGAGATTGGCCGGGAACGTGCCGGGTCTGGACCCAGAGATCCGATGTCTTGATTTTTTCAATATTGGGTCCCCGGCAGTCTCGACCCATTCCCCAGGACCGGTTTTTCACCCTGAGTCGTTTTCTAACGGTCCCGCGGCCCAGCGAGGGCCCCTATAGAGGCCGAAAAGCGCGAAAAACCGCCGTCCTGATTTTTTCAACACGTTGGATCTCTGGGGCGATTGACCCGGGTCTGGATTGACCCGGGAGACTGACCCGGAGATCCCCGGTGGGGGCGCTCCGCAGCGCGGCGGCCTCCGCCGGCGGCCCTCCCCCTCTCTCGGCAGGCGGGCGCCCTGCGCCGCTCGAGCGCCTCGCGCCTCCCGCGGGGCGCGCGCCTCGCCGTCCGCGTCTGCGGCGCTCGCGCGCTGCGCGCGCGCGCGCTGCGCGCGCTCGCGGCTTCTGTCTTCGGGAGCGTTCTGCGGGGGCAGCGAGAGGGTGAAATCGGGCCTGTCCCTCTACAGGGGGAAGATTTCGAAAGTAGTATAAGAGTAGTCGGGGGGCGATGTTTTGACTATTGTTGAGCATTTGGGGGGTATTTGTTGAGTATTTTGAAGTTTTCGTCCAACATCCCCCTGTAACAGGCCCGACCTAACGATAGGGGGGGATAAGGCATAGGTTGGCTTTTCGTTTCTCCCTTTAACAGACTCGTCTCTGTTGGGGGGGGGGGCCCCCCTGATATTTACAATTTACAAACAGGATATACAGCTGCGCGACGTGCACATTCCATCTCTTACGATACATAATGTAATTTCAAAATATGAATATATTATTCAAAAAGACCTAATACCGTACTAATGCATTTTTGTGAAAATACGTAGTATCTTAATACATACCATAATACATTACGTTCATTAAACAATATAATTTCAATCATATAGGTGTATATGTGTTATAACTTAACTATAATAATTATGATATATATATATACATATATTCTGGCAGAATATGCATAATTAAATATTTCCAGCAAGTAGGTCATAGTCTAGTATAGTAAATACATCGTTAAATACCATCATGTAAGAACATGCTAAGAACATGCCATAAGTATGCATACAGTATACAGTATACAGTATGCTGCATACATCATTATACCTATGTCCTATGTCTATGACCTATGTCTCTATGTCTGTATTCTATTCCATAATCGTATATACTTATCTCACACACCAGGGTTTCGCGAGCAATTTGCATTTCACAGTCCAACACTTCTGGATGCTCGGACTGGCGCAACCTATGGCGCAAGCTAAACGGGCGCAACATATGGCGCAACCTATGGGCCTATGGGTGATGTGGCCCAAACGGGTGATAAGGATGTTCAGGGCCCCGTTGCTCGCCATTGTCTGTCTTTGGTTCAAGCCGGCCCATTCGCCGCGCACGCCCAACACAGGCCCAATGCCGACCCGAGTCCGTGCCCAGGCGTCGGCGGCACGGGCACTCGATGCCCTCGATGGTGGGTCGGATTCAGATTCACTCGAGGCACTTGGGGCGCTCGATGCACTGGATGCCCCCATGACGATGCTTCAGCCTCAGCCTAAGGCTAAGGCTAAGGCCCTTGTTGTAGCTCGAGCTGTGAAGGCGGCGCTGAGAAAACGGGCCTGCCACGCTGACGAACATCAAGAGGGTGACGACTTAGCAATCCCATCGTTCTTCGAGTTGAAAACAGACACTGTTATCACCTTCCATATGGCGTCCGATATTGTATTTCGCCGGAAGCTGAACCAGTCGATGATCGATTTAGCCAGTTCGCACGGCCTCAGTGTCGACCACATCCAAGTGCCTGCGGCAATTCCAAACACCGTACCAACCGCCGACCCTACCAGACAGCAGACCCCCCTACCAGACAGCCGACGGTACCAGCCGACAGCCGATCCTACCAGACAGCCGACCCTACAGCCGACCCTACCAGACCAGCGACTCTACCAGACAGCCGACCCTACCAGACAGCGGACCTACCAGCCGACCCTACCAGACAGCCAACCCTACCAGACAGCCGACCCTACCAGACAGCCGACCCTACCAGCCGACAGCCGACCCTACCAGACAGCCGACCCTGCAGCCGACCCTACCAGACAACCGACTCTACCAGCCGGCCCTGCCAGACAGCCGACCCTACCAGCCGACCCTACCGGACAGCAGACCCTACCAGACAGCCGACCCTACAGCCGACCCTGCCTGGAGCCGACCCTACCCCTACCAGACAGCAGACCCTACCAGACAGCCGACCCTACCAGACAGCCGACCTTACAGCCGACCCTACCAGACAGCCGACCCTACCCCTACCAGACAGCCGACCCTACCAGACAGCCGACCTTACCAGACAGCTGGCCCTCCTCCGGCTCTGCCAGACAGCCGACCCTACCAGACAGCAGTTGGCAATATTGGTGTTTTGACCACGCCCAACGTGCCAGGAGCACGGTGGATTCACAGGGTGATGTTGGCAACGGTGTACAGGATAGATTGCCACCGGGAGAACATGCTGAAGAGTTTCGTGGAGAATGCTCGTGGATTGCACGTTTTGGCGTGGAAGTTCAAATTCTTCACGCTGCGCGCATTCCCCTCACCAGCCCATCCAGGACATTTTCTTAGGGCGCTGCTGCTCAGCACATTTTCTAGTCTTCGGGGATTTTCACTGGGCCAGGGACCATGGATGCCTCTCGGTGTCTCTGGGTCACGGTGGGGAGGAGGGGGGGGGGCATCTTTTCTCTTCGCTGTTATAAACTCACAGTCCCTCAGCGTAACCACTCCTTGAGGCCATCTTTGGGGCTGTCGCTTGACCTCAGGAGGTGGCGCGGCCAGAATTGGAACGCCTATTTAAAATAGGCGTTCCAATTTTTAAAAATAGGCGTTCCAATTCTTAAAATTGGGACAGCAAGCATCACATAAAAATGTGATATGTTTAAGTGATGCTTGCTGTTTTGGACCGCGCCTGCCCAGGGGGCAGGGGGGATTTGATGAAACTCAGCAGAACCTCGCCGTGGATCAACAATTCATTCAATATCTCGCATCGACGCCTCCTGGGTCAACTAAGTTCCACAAGGTGGAGACATCGCAACGAGTTGTGAAAGTTATGACCATGTTTATGAAGTTCGGGGCTCCTGGTTATCGAAGGCCGGTGACTTGGCACGTGGTACCTCTGCAGTTGCAGCGGAATACATCCGAGGCACTCTGGGAGGCTTTGAAGAGTAGATGTCCACATGGGCCATGGAGAACGGTGCCGCCTAAAGAGGTGGCTCGCTGGATCTGGTTTGTCTTTGTCGCAGACGAGGCAAAGGCAAACATTCGTTTGTTCAGCCATTTTCAACGGGCGTGCAGGCGACTCGGACAACATATATTGACATGTTTCTGCCCATGTTTACTGCACATTTTGCACAGGAGCATCGTCCCTGCACTCTTCAACAATAATGCTATCAATTGCTTGTTCAGGAGCGCGCACGTCCTCACAGTGGCATCTTATTGGGAGAAGGTGGTCGAGAGCACGTTTCATTATTTGTGCCGCGAAATCGTGTCTGTTCATAATCCTTCTTTGCAGCATGGCCAGCTCGCCCGCGACATTTTGGATCTGACAGTGTTGCAAGGTCGCCCAGACACCGCCAGCCCCAGGAACCGCCAGTGATGCGATGAATTGTTGGACGTCCTCGTGGGAGATTGGAGTTCGAACGTTCTCAAGAACCATTGCAAGAAACCAGGTTGCCAAGGGGGGGAGGAGTGCACAAAAGAGGCCGCAACTCATGTGACATATCTACTCATGAACACCATGTTCTCGAAGAAAATTCAAATACCTTCTGCGAACAGATGGCACAAAGTAGCCCCGATCGTGCGCGTGCTATTATTCAGAATCGCATCGCGCAGTCCGCCAGCCAGCCTCGTATGATGCTGCCAGGTGCTCGCGCGCGGAGCTCACCCTCATCCCCTCGTGGTATTGCCGTTGTCGTCAACGTCCTCCTCCCCCTCATCCTCGCCTCCTCCCCCTCCTCCCCCCCCCCTGGCCCTCGTCCTCATTTGCGTCTCCCCGGGGCGCCCCGCGATGCCTCTGGAGGAGTCCAAGACGGTTCCGGAGTCCCACGAGGGCTTTCAGACGTTGAAAGAAAGATCCAAATGGCCCCGAATGTTCACAACGCAGTTTAACAGACAAGGTCTTACAGGTTTCGCGTTATCGCTCACAGATGTCCCCACTCCTGCCCCCACTCAGAGGAGGAGGGATCGATGGAGAGATAGATAGTGAGATCGATTGTGAGATCTAAGGCGAGGTCGACGGCGAGCCCGATAATGATAATATCGATTGCGAAGCCACCAATGAGATCAGTAAAGAGATCGATAGTGAGATCGATAGTGCGTGAGATCGATAGTGAGATCGATCGCGAGGTCGAGATGTGAGGAATAATGAGGTCGATAGCGTGAGGAATAGTGAGATCGATTGTGCAACCGATTGTGAGGAAGGGGGATCTCGCGCGCCCATGGCTTGTTGAGCCGGTGAATTGGGTTTGGGATGTCATGGCCTTTGGGCAAATTTGGCGCCGAAGAGTTGGCGGGGCGGCGGCGGCCCTGGCGACCCCGACCCTGCAGGTGTAGACGGCGAGGCAGATTGGAACCAGATATTTTCGTGGCGCGTGCGAAGAACATTCCAGTATTTCCAAGACCCGAAAACAATCAGCTCGTTGATTCTCATACTGAAGGTTTTGGAACCCCCGCA